CTACGACAATTATCAACTAAGTTGGAGTTAGTGTGTCTGTATGCTGAAATGATCAAAACAAAGGTAATCTTGTCAGGTTTTATGCCAGTCCTCTCCATCTTTGACCAGAAAGCTAAGGCCTCATCACCTTGTCTATGGAGAAGATAACCAGCAAGCAAACCATTCCATGAAACTATGTCGTGAGTGGGCATCATATTGAACAACTTGACACCATCTTCCATGTTCCAACACTTAATGTACATGCTAATCGTGGCATTTCCTACTCCTACATCAGTTAGGAAACCACGCTTAAAAGCATGGCAGTGGATTTGTTTCCCCAGCTCATGAAATCCTATAGTTCCACAAAGACCGAGTAGTGAAGTTGATGAAACTTCATCCATATCCATTCTTCCTTCTGACTGATTAAGGTTGAACAGAGAAATTGCTTCATCCAGTTCCCCATTTCGAGCATACCCACCTATAATTGATGTCAAAATTACAGACCTGTCCTGCTCAGCTGGCCACCGAAGAAACATCTTTTTGGCATCTGCCATCCGACCACACCTTGTGCACATATCAAGCAGTGCAGCTTCGATGCAAGCATTTGACCCAAAACCAAACTTGATAAGGAACCCATGAATTTGCTCACTGGTTTTACAATCCATGACCAAGCCACAAGCATTAACAACGCTAGTCAATGTGAAGTCTGTCATCTCCATACCCTCCTCCAACATTTTTGTAAATAAATCCAATGCCCTCAAGCCTTCACCATTTCGACAAAAACCAGCCAACAGAGCATTATAAGAAACAGGATTCCTCTCTGGCATGTTATCAAACATCTCTATAGCCAAATCCACCAAACCTACTTCCATGTAGGCTGTAACCATTTCCGTCCACGTAATAACGTCCTTCACAGGCATCCTCTCAAATAAAGACTTCACACCATTTACACTCCCACACGCAGCATAGAACCTAATAAGTGCATTGGTAACACTCAAATTGGCCTCCAAACCAATTTTGATTGCATGGGCATGAACCAATTTGCCTTCTCTAAAAGCCCTGCTACCAGTACAGGCAGTCAAAAGGGTTGAAACGGTGAAACCGTCGATTCCAAACCCTTCAGTTCGCCACAGTTCACGGAACAATTTAAATGCTTCAGCATACCTAAATTCCTTCACTAAACTTGACATAACAGTATTCCAAGAAGCAATATCTCTTTCGGGAAAATGATCAAACAGTTTAAGCACATAATCCAAACAAGAACATTTACCATACAAACTCATAAGGGCATTCGAAACGAAAACACAATCTAAGTATCCCATTTTGACAGCCAAGGCATGAACTTGCAAACCCAAATCCAGCTCCAATATCCGAATACAAGCAGTTAAAACCGCAACAAAGCTAAACTCATTAGGGTCAATACCTGAATTCCTCATCCCAAAGAAAAGTTCCACAGCTTCGTCTTCTCGACCCGCCTTGGAAAAACCCGAAACCAAAGTAGTGAAAGACACAACATTTGGGCAGGAAAGGCTTTGAAAAACCCTGTAAGCGTCAGGAACAAGACCCAACTTGAGATAAGCTGAAATGAGAGCGTTACCCAGATGGTTATCTTCTTCAAGCTTGAGAATTGAGGCGTGCACGGCCCTGGCGAGCTCGTGGTCGCCGTGACGAGCCGAGAGGCGAAGCAAATTGAGGAGATGGTGAAAGAAGAAGTGGGTTTGGTCAGAGCCATTGGGAGGGGTTAAAGGCAAAAGGGGTTTTTCGGTTGGGAGGGATTGGGAGGGAGGTAAAGCGGTGAAGTTGAGGAGGAGTTGGGGTTTGAGTTTGGGATTTGAACTTGAAGGAGGTGAGAGAGAGAGAGAAAGAGAAGGGCGTAGTGAGGGTTTAGGTTTGGAGAGAGAGAAGGGGTTTTGGGGAAAAGAAGAAGAGGGAGGAGGAGGCAGAGGAGGTAAGGCGGCGATGGTGGGTTGGATAATGGTGTTCATTTGTTGTACCCAAGGTTGGCGCCAACAACAACCAGAACCATAACAAAATCATAAAAAAAACCTGTCGTAACTTTTGGTTTGTACACTCTGTTGCAGCTGTTCGTAATGCAGTTCGATGGTTAGACATACTAGATTGTGTATGTTTATTTTTTTCTATTGATAATTTTTTTTTTATCTTATTTAAAAAAAAAAAAAAAAAAAAAAAAAAAAAAAAAAAAAAAAAAAATCCCCCCACCAAAAAAAAATAAAACTAGATGTTACTAGCTTGGAGTTGAGGATTAATAGAAACAAAATATGGTAATATCTTGTTTGATAACCATTTCAATTTTAGATTTTAATTTTTAATTTTTATGCTAGAGTATAGAGAAAATGAGGGTGAGAATGAGAATTAGATGAGATTGAGAGAGAGGATGAGAGGGAGGATGAGAGGGAGAAGTAAAAAAGTGAAACAAATAACTTGAAAGTGAAAACAATTTGAATTAGATTTCAATTTTTAACTTTTGTTTTAACTTTTGCCATTTCTCCCACCCATCCTCCCATCTCATCTTCCCTCGCAATCTCATCTCCACTCTTATTCTCACTTCTATCCTTACTTTTTCCTCTATACTCTAGCAAAAAAAATGAAAATGAAAACTAAAATTGAAATGATTATCAAATATGCCATTAGTTTATAAATAAAAAAATAAAAAAATAAAAAAGGAAACATAAGAGTAAGCTATCGAAACTTTCCTAAATTTCTAGTTAATTATTTATTTAAGTTTTTTTTTCTTCTTAAAATTAATTGTCCCTTGAACTAGTAAAAACAACTAATTTCCTTCCTATAGTTAAATATCGTCACATATCATCTTATTTTATGTTAAAAAAAATGTCAATATCAATTATGGACCTATTAAGGCGCAAGGAGGTGTAGCTACATCTCCTATCGCCAAAAAAGCCATCAGAGGTGCTGCATATTGCACCTCTGCTCAGCCATGGCGTTGCAGTGTAGGTGTTCGACGAAATGCCTAAGAAAACTTTGTCTTTCTGCTTGATGCAGCGTGCTTGTGAGAGTCCGTTTTTCTTAAATGATGATTAAACAAAAATAATTGTTATATATATAGTTTTACATAATAAAAATTTATCTGATTCTGTTACATATATCTGATTCTATTATATATATATATGTGTATAACTTATATATATGTATATTATATATATCTTATTCTATTTGTATATTAATTGGTAAAAGGATTCTTGAATGGGTAGTTAGGTGTCAACAAGGCATGCTAGTAGCCTTGCCAACTCACCATGAAGAAATTAGAATAGGATTGTAGTCACCAACGTGTCTTCCTAGCAATTCTTTTCTTATCTATTGTTAACTTGGAGTGCAAGGCCATATTGATATATTACTTGGAGATTAAGTTCTTACATAAATGTTGATATTATCATGTACTGTAGCTACCGTCTTCACCACATTATATATAGATCATTCCATTCCTTTGTTTTTCATTCTCATTTCAGCCAAGTTGCGAAGCATTTGTAAGTTTGCACAAAGAAAAACATAAATAGAGAGAGATGATGAAATTCTTGGAAGAGGTATAGGACTTAGCTTGTGTTTTCTTGACTTGGAGCTAGCTTTGGAAACAAGGTAGGGGTTTTTTGGGAGCTTTTATGGGGATTGATCTAATTAAATTTCGTGAGCTCTATTATGTGTGATATTGTATAATGTTCTTGATATAGGATATTTACGTATTGTGAACTATTTGAATAAGGTTGGCATAATTATCTCATGTCATGGTAATTGGTCGGAGTTGTTGAGTTGAGAAAATAATGATGGAAAAGAGAGTAATGGAAATAGTCTTTTGTGTAGTTGAGTTTAACTCTTGGAAGGCACCAGGTCTCAAGGATCCCACACTGCACATGGTTTTTATTGGGTGATTCGGAATTGGCGAAAGGGAGTTAGACAAGATGACTAACAAAAGGGGAATTATGGGATGATTGAAATGGGTGTTAGTTCATATAAATGGGCATTCGGGACCAAGTGGTATAAGCATGGTATGAGACGTGCATGTCTGCTTGTCCAGTTATATGAATTAACGGGATTAGATGAAGATCATTCATGCATTATTATTATTAATGTGATATTTGGCTGTGTGATTGCATATCACTTAATTTAGTTATATCAATTTACTGTGGTAAAGTCTCATGTCCCTACTGAGCTGTGGTTGCTCACCCCTCACCCTGTTTAATTTTTCAAATGAATTAGTGGGCAAGAAAAGGACTAAATTGAGATTGAGAGTTCTCTTTAGTTTTACCCGTTGCAACTACTTTGGTTGAGAGAGCTTTTTCAACTATGAATATTATGAAAACATCATTGCCTAATAAAATAGGGAATCAATGGTTGAGAGATAGCTTGGTTGTTTACATTGAGAAAAATATTTTTTCTTGTATTAATAATGAAAATATAATGCGTGTTTTCATGATATGAAACCTCATCGGCAACAATTGTAGGTTAATTGTAATGTTATTTTTTTTCAATTAATTATGAATGACATTAGTATTGTTTAAATTATAAGGATATTTAGTTGTCTAACTTTTTTGTTGTTGAGTTTTTAACCTTTAAAAATTGCACATCCGTTGGAAAATTCATGGGTCCGCCAGTGATCAATGCCCCATGGAAAAATAAGGGTTGTAATTAAGGATTGAATAGGTATGATTATGTCAAGCTAAAGTCTGGACTCCAAGTTTGCTGGATAATAGTAGTTAATCTTGCAATGAAGATAATGTATTGGAATAAAACAAAACCTTAACAATTCCTTAAAATAAAAATAAAAACCTTAACAAAATGGGTGGGTGCGCGTTTGTGGTGTGGGGGTGAAATAAAAATTAAAAAAAAAAAAAAAAAAAAAAAAAAAAAAATAAAAAAAAAAAATAACACAAAAACGACATGGGAAAAGCCCAGAGCCAAGGAAAACGGTCATGAAAGATCGTCGTTGACGAGAAGCGAATGAGATTGAAGAAAACCATCGACTGTACGATCGCCGAGTTCCAACTTCCATGGACGAACGTCGCAAACATCAGGTACTGTAAATTCAACAGCACAATCAATTTATGCTTCAGCAATCTCCCTCATGAAAATTGTTATTGCGTTTCCAATAACTTGTGCTCAAACTTTGATTTTAATGGCGATCGGTTTGCTCAGGTTTCGTTAAGAGGAGCGAGCGTCAAGGAGATTACCAGAGACGCTTTGCTTGAGAAGGTCTCTCAGGAAAGAGAGCTTCGTCAATATGCCAGACGAGCCTCATCAGCTGCGGTCTTCATTCAGGTGTTTGCCTTTTCTTTTCTTAAACGCAAAAAAATTCCTAATTTCTGCATTGGTTTGATAAATTTTGGCTAAATTAAACAAATTTTGATGTGGGAAAGAAGTAAAACAGCAAAAAAGCAAGTGGATTTTCGATTTTGTGCTGGAAGACATAAAGGAGTGTATTTATATTTATATTTATATTTTTATGTGTTCAGAGAGTGTGGAGGCGCTACAGGGTGACAAAGATGGTGGCTTCGGAGCTTCGAGAAGAATGGGAGAAAGTGATGAACCAATATGCTGAGTTAGCTATCACTGCAACATGGCTTTCGGGCAATATAGTGAGGCCTTTTCTTTTCTTTGTTACTTGTTTATCGACTCGGACCAGGAACATCCAGCCCAGAGAAATTTACTCTACGATGAATTTCTTTCAAATTATGTTGGAAAGCGCGACTTCCACTGGTATGCTTCTATTTATTTATTTAAATAGTTTTCTCGGTTTGTTTTTGCAATTGGGTTGATTTCATTTTTCATGTATAGACTCAACGAAAAACTATTGCTCCCTGGCAATCGGCACTGTTGAGGAGAGAAGAGTCTGGAGTTATCAGTCACGAAGGATGATTTCTCTCTGCATGTTTATTCTTTCGGAGTGTGACAAGTCCTGCGCAGGGGGTCAAGATATTGTTGCTCTCACCTCCCTAGCAATGCGTTTTGTTGTTGTCTTAACTGATCTTAAAGGGTGGAAGAGCGTTACTGAGCATGACTGTCAGAGTGCAGATACAGCAGTGAAGGATTTAGTTTGGTTTATGGGAAGCAGCGAAAGTGGTCTTTACTTATCTATCAGAAGATACATTAGCACATTGGATGCTCCTTGCTCTTCACGGATAAGCAGTAGTAGCATACAAAGAGATGATAGATTTTTGATTACTGCAAGTACAATAACGTTAGCTCTTAGGCCATTTCATGTGGCAAAGTTTGATTTAGACGGTCCTGGCTTGCTGGATATCCATTACATTACCGAGAATTACTTTGTTTTTCTACTTACAGTTCCTTGCCTTACTCAACGTCTTCCAGCTCTTCTTATATCTGCTATGAGGCACAAGTCCATTCTCTCACCCTGTTTTCAGACATTACTGGTAAGGCTCATTAAATTTGAACTAAATCTTTGTAAGTCCTTTTTGGTAAAGTATTTCCTTTAATGTACTCATTAGTTACATCTTAAGTAGATTTATAAGTAGTTATGAAAATCCTTCTTTTGGATATGATGAGTCAACCGGTGAGGGGAACTTTCTTTTACGATCTATAACTAGTGTGCAACTGATGCATACTTCCAAGCTTAACCTGGCATTTCAAAATGAAATATTTTGTATTTCTTTGCCATTTAACAGGGATCCTATTTCAACTAATACATTGACTCGATGTCTCGGTATAGTGTGACTGGACCAGTTTAGAGCAAAAACTAAGCTTATTAAGATTTTGGACTCACTGTTATCGCTTCTTACATAGATGAATGCAAATATATTTCACAGGAAAATGGTTGTGAGTTTATTAATGGTTTAATAATACTCTTTTGACATTTATTTGTGGATGAATGTAATATATTGTGGATGTACCGTCTAGTTTCAAGTTACAATGATCCATAACATTCTCCATTAAATTGACACCATGTTTTTCCTTCTATTTTGACATTTTCTACTTTAGGTTGTATTAGTTTTGTGGGATGGTTTTGTTTTATGTTAATTCTTCATAAATTCTATCTATCTATCGTTCTATGTTATGATTATTTATTTTATTTATAAATTCCATCATCATATGTCGGGGCATAATCACATCTAATTCATTAAATCCCAGTTTCTTTTCAAAATATAACTTCTTAGTCCTGTGATTCAAACATGTGGGGACTAATCAAACTTTCGCAGGTGATGGCAGATTTTGAAAGAGAAAATATTAAAGGAAATGTTAGATGTGGATCAATCAAAGATGGATTTTCTTCCCAAGGTGATTCCCCCAGCTGGTTGGGCTCTTGCAAACATTATATGCCTAGCAACAGGGGCAGAGAATGATTCTGTTGATCCTGGAGGGTTCCATCAAGATTTGGACTCTGTATCATATGTCCGTGCTGTTAACATTCTTGCAGAAAACTTATTGTCCAGGCTTGAGAATGTTGACTGTGTCAAGGAGAACCAGAATCTCCAAGGTGAAGTTGAAACCCATGAGAAGCCCACCCATACAGCTTTATGTGAGGGTGAGATGGGGTCCTTCAAAATGTCGTACTTGGATATGTTTAGACCTATTTCCCAGCAGTGGCATCTTACAGATCTTTTGGCTATAATGGATAAAGTTGGTCGTATTCAAGGGTCTGAGACACGACAAAACCTGGAACATTCAAGGAAGTTGGAGCTGCTAGATATTGTGCATTTATATTCATACATGCTCAGAATATTTTCATTATTGAACCCCACAGTTGGATCGTTGCCAGTCCTTAACATGCTATCATTTACTCCTGGGTTTCTTGTGAATCTATGGAGAGCATTGGAAACAAACCTTTTCCCCAGGGATTGTCACACTGATCCAGACAATTATGACCGTATTAGTAAAATTTCAGTCAATGACAAAAAAGTTGGGGCTTTTGAGAAAAAACAAAAACACGCCAATAATGATGGAGTTAATAAGTGGGTCACTGTTCTGCATAAAATTACTGGCAAGTCGCAAGGCAATGATTATACAAATTTGAGTGATAATCAACCTAAGCCTAGACCTGTTGACGAGGATTCTTCTGATGTTTGGGATATAGAACCTGTAAAGCATGGCCCTCAAGGTATCTCTAGAGATATCTCATGTATGCTTCATCTTTTCTGTGCAAGCTATTCACACCTACTTTTGATTCTTGATGACATAGAATTCTACGAAAAACAGGTAATATTATTTTTTCTTATTTTTCAGTGATTGTTATGATTATTCAAATCTTATGATTTGAGCATTTTATGCATGAATAGGTGCCATTCACACTGGAGCAACAACGGAAAATTACATCTGTCCTCAATACATTAGTTTATAATGGTTTTTCTCAAAGTATTGGACAGCAGGATAGACCCCTTATGGAATCTGCAATCAGATGCTTGCACTTAATGTATGAAAGGGATTGCAGGCACCAGTTCTGCCCCCCTGTTTTGTGGCTTTCACCTGCTAGAAAGAACCGCCCACCAATTGCGGTAGCTGCCAGAACTCATGAAGTTCTCTCAGCTAATGTAGGATCAGATGATGCTGCGCCTATTCCAAGTATAGGTTCTGTTATAACTACAACCCCGCATGTATTTCCATTTGAAGAAAGGTAAGAAAATAATCAAATAACGGAAAACTCAATAATTTCATAGTTCAATTATTTTTTCCCTGTGTTTTTAGCTCAGTTTGTTTACTTCCTCAACTTTTGAGATCCCCCCTTTTTTTGGATATATGAAACCCATTTTGTGGCCTTTGGATGACCTGTTATTGGCTTCCAGTGAAAATTGTTGACCTTGTGACATACGCCTTGAGGTTGCACACGTGCGTGCACCTGAATGTTTGGTTTGTATATGTTTCCAAGTGAAAGTGCTGAAGTTCTTCTATGTAATATGCATTACATGGCTTCTCTGGCTTGTGAGGTTTGAGTGAGCACTGGTAGGTGGGGTTGGGTTGGTGGGGCAGTCGGGATTGACAATTTGTGGGTTGATTATTTTTGCGTCTTCATTGCCTATACTATTCTTCACTGCGTAGTTTTCTAACTTTTTACCTTTGACAGTATGGAATCGTGGCTAGATTCTTCACTACTGACTCTTTTGAGTTTTACCTTCGACGTAATTCTGTTTCTAAAAATCTTTAAGACCTCTACAGTAAATTATTCTTCCTGACATAATTTAGTATCATGGCAGAGTTGAGATGTTTAGAGAGTTTATCAAGATGGATAAAGCCTCCCGAAAAATGGCTGGTGAAGTCGCTGGACCTGGTTCTCGATCAGTTGAGATAGTAGTTCGTCGTGGTCATATTGTTGAAGATGGATTTCGGCAATTAAATTCTCTAGGGTCAAGGTTAAAGTCATCCATCCATGTTTCATTTGTCAGTGAATGTGGCCTTCCCGAGGCTGGCCTGGACTATGGTGGATTATCTAAAGAGTTTTTGACTGATATATCAAAAGCAGCCTTTGCTCCCGAGTAAGTTTGAGATTTTATATAGATATGTATATGTTACATTTTGCTTCCTTGCATTGTTATTGGATTCTTTAGAAGTCAGATTTCTGAGCTCATTTTTTCTGCTGATCAGGTATGGGCTATTCTCCCAAACCTCAACCTCCGACAGACTTCTGATCCCTAATTCATCTGCAAGATATCTAGAGAATGGTATCCAGATGATTGAGTTCCTTGGAAGAGTTGTTGGCAAAGCTCTTTATGAAGGAATTTTGCTAGATTACTCCTTTTCACATGTTTTTATACAAAAGCTGTTAGGTCGATATAGCTTTCTTGATGAACTATCAACACTTGATCCAGAGCTTTACAGGAATCTCATGTATGTCAAGGTAAACCTTGGATTTGTTTGTCTGTCTGGGTCCTTCCATTCTCATTAAATCCTTTCTGAAGCATTGATCATTAGTTTGATAATCATGTAACCATATTAGTGCACTAAGTGTTAGGATACAATAACAAAACTGTTGAAGGTTTATTATAGATGTTTAAGAGATAAAACTGATGTGCCTTGCTCCTTAAAGGGCTATATTAAATTACTTGGCCAAAAAAATGAAGGCTGTATGACATCAGGACTGCATATTGTAAACTTGATAGGGTCTATGTGGTTGCATCTCAACCCAAACTATTTGAATTAAGGTGTTATTGGTTGCTTTGTCTGTACACTTTTAGATAAAGCACCCTTGATTGGTTCTTGTCCAGCTTTAAGTGTCTTGAAGTCTCCATTCTGGATCAAGTTTGTCTTACATGTACTGATATGCTTTGCCATGCATTTTGTTTCTTTAAAGATTTTGATCTTTTACTTGTGTGGTTATTGCAGCACTATGATGGTGATGTCGAGGAACTCTGTCTGGATTTTACTGTAACTGAAGAATCATTTGGAAAAAGGCAAGTTATTGAGCTTAAGCCTGATGGGAAAGATGTTACTGTGACAAACAAGAACAAGATGCAGTACATTCATGCAATAGCTGATTATAAGCTTAACCGACAGGTTTTTATTTCATTCCTGTTCAACTAATGTTTTGAAGATTAGAGTTATTATTACTCTTATTGGTGAGAAGAATTACCTTGTTTTCAATGTTGAATTGCAGATATTTCCCTTTTCAAATGTGTTCTATAGAGGCTTAACTGATCTCATCTCACCATCTTGGCTAAAATTATTTAATGCAGGTGAATTTAATCAGGTAAGGCCCTCTATACATGGGTATGTTTATTGTTCTAGTGAATATGACTGTATGCTGCTGGGTGCATTCTCTATGGATGGATTCATATAAGATATGATTCTTTTGTAAACTAATCTGCCCTTTAATCTTATGCTCAATATATTAATCATCTTAAACTTGTAAGTTAAGACCTAGTCCCTTTTCTCTTGATTCCAAAAGTTTGAAGAAAAAAAATGGAGCATCATCTTTCTTGGTCTTACTTTCATTCCGTCTTTGGTTTAGGTAGTTGGCTGATAAGGTGACATTTGGAAATAATACCATTTTAAAACAGTAGCAAAATTATTCCCCTAATAGGGAGAAATTGCAGTGGAAAAAAAAACTTTGAAAGTCTAATGATGAGACCAGGAGAGTTAAAATATAAGTGTTGCCTTAACTAAATGATCCTTTTTAGAGCTATCTATCTTAAGATTTTCTTCTTGTGAAATAATCATAAATCATGTCTTGTGAAATATTTTAATAATAACAATGTACTTGGTCATGATGGGCCAGTATTATGATTCATCAAGTCCTCCAAATACTTTTCCTTTAAGGGTGCTGACTTTGATGCACATGAATTCAGTTAGTTGTCAAATACTGATCTATAACTACCATATACAGTTGCTTTCAGGTGGAAACCATGACATTGATGTTGACGATTTAAGAAAGAATACAAGGTACACTGGCGGTTACTCTGACGGGAACCGGACGATTAAAATCTTTTGGGAGGTATTGACAATTCTGTGGTGGTTGAATGAGCTTATGTTTTGTATAATTAGGTGTTCCTAATTTTAATTTCTCCAAGATGGTTCTCGTAAAATACTGACCTGTTCCTTTTTCAATGATTTGATTTGGATTCCGTATTTGCTGCCTATTTTCTGTTAAACATTCAAGACCAAATATGCTTATATAAAAATATTCTGCTCTCTCTCTAGAAAATCTCAGTGCTGATTCATGTCTCTCACCAGAAGAGAAACAGCCAACTTTCATCATTTTCTGATTTTTCAATTTATTCTGTATCATGTGGCATATTTAATTTTGGTATTTTGTTTGTATCTTGTCTTATAGATGTTCATTTTGATTTAGGATACCTATGATCTTTTTATGTTTTATTGAGTTTCTTCCGACCATTATCACAGGTAATCAAAGGATTTGAACCTAGTGAACGTTGTATGCTTCTAAAATTCGTAACCAGTTGTTCTCGAGCTCCATTACTTGGATTTAAACATTTGCAACCGATGTTTACAATCCATAAGGTATGTAATTGATCTTACAACTACGTGTGTGTATCTAGTATGCAATTACTCAAGAATTGGGTCTTATATAGGTTGCATGTGATATCCCTCTTTGGTCTGCAATGAAGGGCGAGGATGTTGAGCGGCTTCCATCAGCGTCAACTTGCTATAATACTCTGAAGGTACAATAAATGGAAAATGCCATCCTCCCCCTTTCTAATTTTTCAATAACATTGCAATAGATAGAGTTCAGAACAGATACCAGACTATCAATTACATCTGCCGCTACTGATGCTCATTTTAATTTTGTCGGTTTAAAACCGCACTTATGATTTCATTCTCTGTGATGTTTGCAGCTTCCAACTTACAAACGTCCGAGCACTTTGAGAGCAAAACTTCTATATGCAATCAGTTCCAATGCAGGATTTGAACTTTCTTAAGGATCCCCTTCAGGTTATACATTTTACTTGTCTTACTGAACCCTTAATGTTAATTATATTTTTTTAACATTATTTCTCACCTATTACATATTGAAAGCAAGATGGATTCTGAGTGTCCTTGATTGCATGGATTTTTAAACAATAAAATTATTACAGATGAGCTATTATAGAAAGGGTTAAACCAAGATACTTCATATTATCCACTTAGATGGTAATTTCCACCTATAGTTTGACGTATTAGATTTTTTTTTCTTTTCATGTATAAAAAATATTTGGCAAATCATTAAGAAAGCATATTCAATAACTTCAGGTTTGTGCATGCAATATTAATTTTACTAACTTGGACCAGTTTAGAGAACTGGGCCATGATCTTACTTAAATGATCTCATAACACAAAGGATTGAAACACGTATAGCTTAGGAGACTTCAGACTATGAGGAAACTATATTCTGGAACTAAAACCACTAAATACCTATTTTTTATATCATAATATTTATAAGATAAAGAGAGTGCAGTAGTCTTAGATTATGCCACTGGGGATATAGATTCAAGATATGAGGTCAAAACCCTGCTGAAGTAGATTGCCAGCCAGGACCTTGTTGGCAGCTTCAGAGGGATGGAAGCCATCCCAAAACACATAACCAGTTGCATTGGTACATGTTCCTACAGACTTAGAGTTGCAAAGCATAGAGGTTTCCAATCTACCTGTTCCACAACAAGCTCTTCTTGACTCAAAGAACCCTGTCAGATAATGGAATTTGGTTATCAAGCAATAAACGTAATAATCAATCCCATACATATTCGAACTATCTAATCTAAACTAACACAACAAATGCCAAACAAAAGCAATAGAGAGAATCTTTCTATTGATGCTAAAAAACAAATGTTTTTTCGTAACTAGTATGGTGGTTCTTCTTGTTGCCCTTTTTTGTTTTTGTGTTTTTCACATTGATCAACTATTGAACAGAGGTGCTTTACCATTATCACCAGGGTTTGTGATCATATCCAGGACGGGCTGGGAGATATCGAACACTACAAGCTTGAGACCAGGAAGTCTGCTCTTCAAAATTTGAGATGTGTTGTTTAGCTTATTGTTGAATGAAATGGCATCTTGGTTTAACCTTGGGATGCACTGGTTTCTTCCTAAGCCAAATAGGGTGATTGCTGCTGGCAAACACCCAGTTGGTGGTAAGCTTATGACTCCAATCCTTCGCACTCCCAGTCCATACAAGTTCTGTCACAGTAATGCTTATGTCATGAGAGTGTATATGAAGAAACAGATGCAGAATGATGTCAATTACTTTGCTGTATCAAACATGATTGAATTTTCTATTTAAATTCAAGGTCACCATTATGACACCTTTTCCCCCGTATTGCCTTACTGAAGCTTTCAATTTAACTTCACCATAGGTAGCTGCGAATCTTCATGCAATCTAGAACTATATGATCACTGTACATTTATTTGGGTTCAGGTTTGTGTTATGCGCAATTGCAATTTCTAGTTTTAGGTTTAGGTTTGGCTTTCGTCAGCAAACATCAATCAGCTATGAGATTATTTCTTACTTTTTGGGTCGTGTGTGTGTGGTGCTGTATATAAAAAGTTAAGATAAGGGGAAAGCATGCAGCATGCATAATCTGAGTTTGGAGTGACCTGAATGAAAGTGGAGTAGGATATCATGAGAATGTCTGAGAATTGGTCAGGTGAGTAGACTCTAAGAAGGGGATTGATGTAATAGTTTTGAATGAAATCACTGGTCCCTGCACTTAGAAGGTGAACGGCTCCAGAGAATATGGCATTGGCTTTAGCTCTTCTCACCATACTCACCACTTCATTTTCATATTCCCTGTAGTTATTCAGCTGGCGGGTCAGCGAAATGGCACCCTACAAAACCAAAGATGGAAAATCATATCAACACGTGAGAGAGAGAGAGAGAGAGAGAGAGAGAGAGAGAGAGAGAGAGAGAGTCGCTGTCTACATATAAGCGGGCTGTGTTGTCATAATAGCCAGAAGCAGCTGAGGCAAAGTTGACTCCAGTCAAGGTGTTCACTCCTTCGGCTTCTTGGCTAAGGTAAGCTGGTGGGTAGGAAGTGAATCCCAGATATTCAGCTGTAAAAGAAAGAAACAAGTTAACATAAACTCATCAGAGGAGAAAAACAAGAAGAAGAAGAAAGAAGAAGAAGAAGAAGAAGAAGAAGAAGAAGAAGAAGAAGAAGGAGAAATAGTTGTTGATAACGTTACCGGTGGTGAAGTCTGTGGCAAGCTTTCCATTAGAGAATCTTCCAGTTGGTCTATGAGTAACAAAGTCTCTCTTCCATAAGGAGCGAAGTTTGCCTTGGCAAGTGTAGTGAGGTTGTTATTGTTTCCAACATCAACCAGAGTCCCCAAATATGATTAGTGCAGGAACTAGAGGGTCCCCATGAGCAACTGTGAAAACCAGAACAAGAATGCTCAAGGAACCCAAAAGTGTACTTGAAATCCCCATTTCTTCCCCCTTGTTCTTTTAACAGTGAGAGAAAAAAAAAAACACTCACTGCCTAAACAGAGGAGATAGAATAAATGAAAGATGAAGAGGGCACAGATGGGGGGCAATTTAAGGAGTAAAAAGCTGCCATGCTCTCGTAAGGAAACATGTTTAGAGCCTTGTGATATTTGTCCTCTTTATAATAGCCTCTAGTTGTGGGTTTGTTTTGAGGACAAAGTATTTAGTTAGCATCAAATACTTATAGAGAGCTTATGGAAAAAGGTTGGTTCTTTCTGGCATGGCTAGCTGCTCACATTGTACATCATGCAAAGTGCCGTGTCTGGAACAAATAGTTTCCTTTGCCATCAGACATGATTTTTTGAAAGCTGTCCCTTATATGATCCTTTGCTATATATATATATATAATTTTTTATTATTATTGCCGTACATCTATAATCAGAGAAATCATCAATGCAAGGAAATTATGACCCACCACTAACATTTTTCATGATGGCTTGGCACTGAGATATTGTAGCAAATTCTAACATGGTTTATTCTATAGGCCCTAAGATGAGGCATTATCGCTTAATCATTAGATCAAACTAACAAATTAATTCAATGGCATAGCTAAGAGATAGAGCCTCATCTAAGGGCCTTGAATATAAGGCCCTCACTATGAAATTCTACCCTATATATATGTACGATACATTGTAGCAAATTTACTTGAAAGCAGTTTATGATTTTATGAGGAATGGCCAGTCAGTTGAGTAAATGGACCTTGTGATGGCCCTGCCTCAAAGGCCAGCTCTTTACACACTTGGACTGAATTGTTACTTTCTTTACTCCTCCTGCCTAATTGTTAGTTCATCACTAAGGCCTATTTTCATAGACAGTTCATCTGGGGTTTCTGTTATTATTATTATTTGTTAATATAGCGCTTAGTGTGTGTTTTTTGAAAAGAGTTTAGCCTCGCGGCTATACTCTATAAACAGAATATTACAACAGTATAGCCGCGCGGCTATTCTCATTGAATAGCATAATCTGAATTCATTTTTTTTAATTACTTTAATTAGTAGTTATGTTTTAATTATTATTTACTTAGTGAATAATTAGTATTTTAATATTTTAATATATTTTATTTTGATTCAATAATATGTGAGTATTTTGTGAATAATACGTGAATTTTGCATGTATAATTTTATAAAAAATAGGTGTATTAAACAATAAAGACTTGGATAATGACATAATAGTAATGGATAATACTCTAAGCTACTCTTATCGATAAACAAAAATTAGGAAAAAAACAAAAAAAAATCATAGTATCTATGTAAGGAGCATAGCCATTTATTAAAAAAAATAAATTAAAATAAACTACCACAATACAGCCACACGGCGATACTCAGTATAGTCGCGTGGCAATACTATTTATTTATTATATAAAAAAAGAGGGCCCGCCTAGCTCTCAGAGCATGTTTTTGTGGAAAGAGCATAGCTGTTCGGCTATACAAACGTCTAGCCGTACGGCTATAATCTATAAATAAATTTTTTAAACGTATAACCGCACGGCTATATCCAGTGTTGGGATGTGTTGGAGAGAGGGAGAGAGGGGCTGGGGCTGTGCTTTTTCGAGGGAAGAGAGAGAGGAGCGGGGTTTGAGACAGAGAGCACACCCAACCCAGATGTGGGACAGAGAGAAAGTGAGAGGTGTTGTAAGGGAGGTGCTGCAGGGATGTGTGTGGAGTGTCAAGGCTCAGAGGATGGGGCTGGCGCTGGCTTTTGTGATTTACTCTGTTTTTTTTTCCTTCTTCAATTCTCTGGTTGTTCGTTCATGTTAAATTTTTTTTTGTCTCTCTCTCTCAAATCCGCGCGATTTGGGGAGTTCAATTTTTCTTTCCTTCTTTTAATATTATTTTATTAAATTTTGTTTAATGTTTTAGTTTTTAACTACTTTTAAATATTTTATTAATTTGTATTAATATATTATTGAATGTGTGGCCTAATGTGTAAAGAGTATGTGCGGCTATACTATTTATAAATAAATAAAAATAGGTCACGCCCAGAGCTTGATGGGTGTTTTTGTGAAAAGAGTATAGCCGAGCGGCTATACGCTAAGAATATAATATTTCAAAAGTAGAGCCGTTCGGCGATACCCTACATATAGAATGTTTTAAACAGTATAGCCGCACGGCTATACGAATTGAATATCATAATCTAAATTTCTCTTTTTTAATTACTTTAATTAATAGTTATGTTTTAATTATTATTTACTTAGTGAATAATTAGTATTTAAATATTTTAATTCAATAATATATGAGTATTTTGTGTGTACTATTGAAAATTTTGTAAAAAAATAAGTGTATTAAACATGAAAAATACATATATATGTGTACAATACAAGTATTAAAAGTGAAAATGCTAAATTCTTTGTACGATAATGACTCTGGAAAAGTAAATACTTAAAATGGGACAATAGCAATTCAGGTAATGGCCTAATAGTAATGGATAATAATCTAAACTACTCTTATCGACAAACAAAAATTGGGAATAACAATTAGAAACAAAAGATTGTAGTATCTATGTAAAAATGAATTTAAACAAAAGACCCCAATAAAGCCGGGTGGCTATACTCTTGTTATAAAAAAGAAAATCTAGAGGATAGCCATGCGGCGAGAATATTTATATTTATATAAATAAAAAAGGGTAATATTTCCCCCCACTCCTATTTTATCCATTTACAGTCCTTTTTCAGTTATAAAATGGAGTGTAAGTGGATAAATTGGAGTGGGGAAATCACAAAAAAAAAAAAAAAAAGAAAAAAAGGAACCCATGATCAGTTTTTTCCCGTTGTGCAGGACGTCCGGATGGGCCATCGACCAGCAAAGTGGGTCGGGTTATTAGGTCATATGGCCTAATGGACTTTATGAGAAGTAATCTAACATGAAAAATACCAAGTAATGAAGAAATTTTCTCTTTGTTTCCTTAAGTTATACTATAAGTCGAAATGAACGTATAGTGGCCTTCTCTATGTGAAAGGGTATAATGGTCATTCGCTTATTTGAAAAGAAAAATAGAAAACGTAGCGCATTTGACTAGCTACGGTTAGCTTTGCTAGCTCCTCCTACTCCTAGATGTGCGCTTGGGGAGGGAGACTTTTTCAATAGGGGATCACCCAACCTAAACAAATGAGACGAAAATTTATTTATTTTTATTGTACATACGATACAAGGTCATGTGTTTGAATTCCTCCTCCTCATTTAAAAAAAAAAAAAAAAAAAAAAAAAAAAAAAAAAAAGCAGCAATTAGTAAAAAAAGTTACAAATCAATGTTCTAATATTGCTTTCAACTATATACATGTATTTTTGCAACCTATCCTATATCTAGATAAATCTTTCTCAACTAGATGGTAAAATATCTTCGTTTTATTCATTCAGCTGGCTAAGGAATTTGAAATCAAAGACTTGGGTATCCTGAGATATTTTCTAGGGATTGAAGTGGCTCATTCAAAATAGGGAATCTTTGTTTCACAAAGAAAATATGTGCTAGATCTTTTAATTGAAACAGGGATGCTAGCTTACAAGCCTGTGACACTCCAATAGAACAAAATCATAGATTAGGTGAACAGACTGATGATACCCATGTTGACAAGGAGAGATATCAGAGATTGGTAGGAAAATTGATTTATTTGGCTTATACACGACCATATATAGCCTATGCAGTGAGCGTTGTCAGTCAGTTTATGCACTTCTTACGAGCCACGAGAAGTTCACATGCATGCAGTTGAAAAAAATACTTAAGACACTTGAAATCAGCACCTGGTAAGGGTCTTTTGTTTTCCAAACACGATCATTTTGGAGTTGAAGCCTACATAAATGCAGATTGAGCTGGTTCTATTTCAGATCGAAGATCCACTACATGGTATTGCACAATTGTGGGTGGCAACTTAGTGACATGGCGAAGTAAGAAGTAGTCAGTTGTTGCTACGTCCAGTGCTGAAGCAGAATTCAGGGCCATGGCCCATGGTGTGTGTGAATTACTTTGGTTGAGGATTTTGCTAAGAGATTTGAAGATTGCGTATAAGGACCCTATGAAGCTATGTTGTGATAATAAGGCAGCCATCAGCATTGTTCATAACCCAATTCAACATGATAGGACTAAACATGTAACATGTTGAGATTGACAGACACTTTATTAAGGAGAAAATGACAGAAGGTGTGACTTGCACCCCATATGTGAGAAGCGAGGATCAACTTGCTGATATTCTAACTAAGGGAGTCTCCAGCAAAGTCTTTGAGTCTACTCTTGCCAAGCTGGGAATCCAAGATATCTATTCTCCAGGTTGAGGGGGAGTGTTGAGTGTCTGAATATAGTGTAGTTGACCTCGTGTGATTAGCCTTGTAATTAGCTAATTTCACGTTGAGGGGACGTTGCTATGGGGCGAAGCTTGTGTTGTGTCTCCCATCACGTTTTAATGAGCAGAGAAGGGAGACACTTTGGGTCAGTTTGATAATAATTTGTTGTACATATGAAGGGGGAAAGTACGATATTTTCATTGTGGGTGTTAGTTCGTGTAACATGAGATTCTGGGCTACATATGCATGGTACGTGCATATTTGTTTGTTTTGTTATGTAGCTTAACGGGTACAAAGATGGAGTTATCATGACATTCATGCATATCATAAATTAATAAATATGTTGAATTACATATTTTGTATCACCTAGTTTAGTCTTGAAAATGTCCCTTGATAAGACTTTAGATCCTACTGAGTTGTGTTTTCAATCACCATTTTATAGGTCTAAAAACTATGTTATTTTGTTTCGTTATAGTACTAATGCCAGAAATGAGGATATACTTAGTATTATTTATAAACCTAGTGATAGATAAGGGGATTGCCATAAAATATAGGGGTGTGCATCGGTTCAAAACCAATCCTTATTCAAGCCAATATACATCGGATTATGATTTTTTCAATCCAATCCGATCTAATCCAATTGATATTGGATTGGATTGGATGATCGATTTTCATTATGAAAAAGATAATAGTGAAATATTTATCATCATGTTTAATATAATCAAATATTTTACTATATGTAAATGTATAATATAAATGAAATGCTAGAGAATTTTTTTTCATTCTATAATATACTAAACACAACTCCATCAAATGACTTAAAATGTGCATAACTTTCTTAATTACAATTACCTGCATTAGCAAAACACGCATGAAACTAATTGAACTGGATTGGATTGGATTTGATTGGATTTTCACAAGCAAATCCGTCATCCGATCCAATCATGTCAGTATTGGAAGTAAGAAATCCAATCCAATTTGCCAAATCATCGAAAACCAATTAAAATTGGATCGGTCAGTTGGATCTTGCACACACACCCCTAATAAAATGGAAAAGAAAATTCTCAAAATACCCCAATTTGATAGGAACCACAAAGTACTGCCATAAAATTGGCATAGTTGACTAACTTATTTCATCTCTGGTTGAGTTCTTGGCAAAAGAAAAAACTTATTTTTGCCATCATTGGGGACAATTCTCTTGCTTGCTCAGCCTCGCCGCAATAGACGTAATGGCATAACTTAGGCTATCAGGAAGAGAGTTGTATTGTACCCAATATGAACTGGTTTCAGCCTTTGCAAGGTATATGAGAGCAGCAATCTCACATGTCTTCTGTGCATTTGAAACATCAAAATAGATTTGAAATATCGAAAATATCATACGGTTTAAGGAGCATTGTTTTGTTTCAAGAAAAAACAAATTATCGTTTTTGTATTGAATAATAACCAGAATTTGCCTAAGTTATCATTTTTCACAATATTACTCGCACAAAAATAAAAAGCAAAAGAGAATAGGATTGAGGAGCTTATAGTAAAACTGAACAATAATTCTACCAAAATAGTTTTACCAAAGTCAAAAGATAAACACTAAGGAGATTTCAAGCTAAAAGAGAAGACAACGAAATGCTCAACTTCCTTCCAATAGTAAAGTCACGTTCTCTTATTGCCTTCAATACTCTTTTTTTTTCACTTGCTAATGAGTCATGAACACCGCTTTTCTCATTCAAAACAAAGTAGTAGACCTCAATGGGGCAACACCAATACCCACTCGATTGGACAAAACAAGACCTGGGTTGACATCCACGAACAATGATCTTAAAATACAGACAATTAAAATACCGTACTTTCCCCCTCAATACATACTTCTCTTAAGCTTGTAAGATACAATAATAAACTATCAAACACATAAGACAGTGTCTCCCTTCTCTACTCATTAAAACGTGATCTGGAGGCACAAGCTCTCAATGCATTAAAAGATTGAACTCATCGTCGTCGGTCACCACTGCATAGTCATATCCAAGAGAACTTGCACGAGCTTGAAATTCATCAATATCGCCCCGGGCAACTTGGATTCCAACCAACACATTTGCCCCAGTTTCACCCTATTGCATAGGAAAAACAAGTATACCATCAGAATTTGTTTAATAAAATTCAAACAAACAAAAAGATGTTGAATTATGACCTGTGCACGGTAGTGGAACAAACTAATATTCCAACGTGGACTGAACGCGTCCAAGAACTTCATTAGAGCACCAGGTCTTTCTGGGAAGACAAAGTGACAAAGAACCTCGTTTTGAACATTTGATCTGCCTCCCATCTGAAAGAGATCCACAACAAAGTAAACTTAGGACCAAGATGCAACAAACTAAACAAAAATGAGAGAGAGAGAGAGAGAAAGAGAGAGAGAGAGAGAGAACACGATTGTAAGTAGCAGAATTACCAAGTAGCGCAAGTGATCTTTAACCAAGTCACTTTTTGTGAGATTGTATGTCTTGAGTTGACAAGACTCCAGGCGCTCTTGCATTTCTTTAAGTTCAGAAGCTGTGTGCACACCAACACTGCACATGATATAAAAGGATAAAGAAATATCTATAAAAAATTCTATGTATTACTAATCCCAAGTAAAAAGCTTTTGTTTATGGGAAACAAAACAGCCATAAGTAAACCCATCTTAACCACACAAAAGAAATTGGCAGCAAATTTGGGAAAAATAATGTCAGTAAAACCTAAAAGATGACTAGTGCTTACCTGTACAATACTACAGCCTGTTTATCAGAATTACATCTGTATTTAAATTCACTGATATTCATTGGGCCCACCTGTCAACCAAAGTGATTCAGTTCACACCATGAAGAACACTTCAGTTGGAAAGGGAAAAAGAAAAAAACAGTTGACCAATGCACCATTAGCATACCAGTTCACAATAATGTTTAAAGCTCCCAGGCTCCTCTGGCATAATAGTTGCGAGTACAGCCTCTTGTTGCCGACCAACATTAGCAAGTTCAGTCACCACTCTCAGTTTATCAAAGTTCATATTTGCCCCACTGGTTATTGCAACAACATTTTCTCCTTTAAGACCATAATACTTGCAGTATGCTTCAGCTCCAGCAAGAGAAAGAGCGCCTGCTGGTTCTAAAATGCTCCTAGTCTCTTCAAACATATCCTGCAAAACAAACACTAAGCTTGTGAAGTCTAAGATCTCAAAACTATTAAAGATAAGTTACAGTGTTGGCCGTCCTTTCTCAATGAGATAAACTAGCACCCGAATTGCATTTGAACTTATTACTGTTACAAATAGCCAAACATAGAAAAGAGGTTACTCCTGAACATAAATGAATTCATTAATAACACATATCTCTCTGATGTCATAATTAGACCACAGAGCAGACAACCTTAGTATGACATCAAAGTTCAAAGGATGAAAATAGAATATATATATATATATATTTATAGAAAAAGGGCTTGCTCTGAGACATATGGACAAGCAACAAAGTAGACCCCTGAGCAGAAAACAGCCTTTCAATAATGCCAGCCAACGTAAACTTGCTTCAAGGAAATCCAAGGTTGTTACTACATGTATCTGGGACAATTTTAATTTGAACATTCACTCCACTTCATTATCTTCTTTCATATATGTTACATAATGTCCACCAGAAACAACTCATCCAAAAACAGATTGATTATCTTCATTCAAAGTCCTCGAGCAAATTCCCAATTCCTTCGTCCACGTACTTTCTAACTGTTAACTAAGAACTTTGGCTGGTAGTTATTCAATTTACAAATATGTAAATGAATATGTGAATTTTTACACCAAAAAAGACAGGGAACATATGTACGTTACAAAGATAGAAATAGGTTAAATTCTATAACATGAAAATGTGAACAGAAGTTTTGTTTAAGAAGTCTACTACCTAAGAATGCACGATAAGCAAAAGAAACTCACCCATGCAAGTTTCAAGACTGGAAAGAAGTTTTCACCTTTATTGAGCCACATATAGCATCACGGCTAACAAGAACTACACCATCTACCATGTCCTTGCATAAGCGGAAGGTTTCTTCACCAACCTCTTTCACAGCCACACCGTCTGCAAAACCTCCAACCTGGTCCAACATTATTCTCTGACCATGATGCAGCGACAAGGCCATTGCATTTGCATCAGAGGGCTCCACACCAATAATCTTTACCTGTACAAAAGATATCACAATACATTATGTGATGCTAAATTGAAGGCCTTTTTTTAACGAAAAAAGGAAAGGAAAAATTAAATCTTTCCATGAAGAAAGCGCACAAATTTGAACAAGTCACTTGCCCAGTAATCCATTCAAAAGATGAAAAACACCAAAACCATACAAACCTTTGGAGAAACCCTCTTTACATATGCAGCAATACCAGCTATGAGGCCACCACCTCCAACAGGAACAAAAATTGCATGCAATGGGCCCTTTGTTTGACGCATAATTTCCATCCCAACCGTTCCTTGTCCGATAATAACATCTGGGTGATCAAAAGGAGGTATGAAGCTCCTTCCCTCCTCTTGAGCCCGCTTCTTAGCATAAGTTTGAGCCTCATCATATGAATCCCCTATAAGAACAACCGTGGCACCCAATCTCTCAACAGATTTCCACTGCAAACAAGCAATACACAATTCCACAACATTCAATAAGCCAAACCCACAAAATAGAATTCTCAAATAAAAAAAAAAAAAAAAAAAAAAAAAAAAAAAAAAAAAACTTAATTTCTGGTGTGGTTACAGGCATTGCAATCACAGCACTGCAATTCAACTTCCTAGCAGCCAAGGCAACTCCTTGGGCATGGTTTCCAGCTGAGGAGCAAATAACCCCTCGATCCAGTTGCTCCCTTGGAAGCTTTGCCATCATGTTGTAAGCTCCCCGAAGCTTGAACGAGAAGACCTGCAAATTCAACAAAAAAGTTTCAGTCGAAAATCCCCAATTTTTCCAATCCAAATTATTCAAATGAACACTTGGAACAACACTTACAGGCTGCAAGTCCTCTCTTTTCATCCAAACTCTCACTCCCAATCGCTCCGACAGCTTCGTAGCCAATTCTAAAGGTGATTCGATGGCCACGTCATACACCTTCGACGACAGTATGTTCGTCAAGTACTCCATGGCGTCGACAATGTTCCCGTTGTCGTTTCCGTCGGTGGCAGTACGGTCGGGTACGGCTCCGAGGAAGCCGGGCGGGTACTGGAGCGAATCGGCCGAGACCCGGTTGGGAGGCGGAGACGGCGTCGTTCTGGTCTCGAAGGAAGCAGAGGAGGTGGACGGTTCGGCGGAAACATTGGCGGTCGGTCGGGAAAGCGTGGCCGAAACGAAGGGCTTGATCGGACGGCGGGTGCTGAGCTTCTGGGGCCCATTGGGGAGGTGAGACTGAAGGCCTTGTGACCGGAGAAGTGGGGAATGGGCTGGGTTGACGCGGAGGGCCTCCATTGGTTGATTGGTTGGAAATGGCGGCAGTTTTTTGCGAGGAAGGAGTTGGAGGTTTTCTGGGTTTTGCTTTTGCTTTCTAATTTTAGTCACGCAGACTCACCGTTTAGCTCTTCGGAAGGGCCAATGATAAAATGACACGTACAGTAGAGGTAGATGGCTATTGGTCTGTGACGCAGTCGCAGGTTAGACTACGATCTGGAGTATGCAGTTTTTGACCGACTTTTAGGCGAGACGAGACAAATATTCACTTCAACCTTTTGTATGTGGTTGTGGGTCCCGCAATTTAGCAGAGAGTGTCTGCGATTCGCGCGTTATTATTCATATTTATTATTTACATAAACAGTCCCTTCACGTGGTTCACGGAGATCAGGGAGTGTCTTGGTCAGTTACCGTTGGATTAAATCCAAAGGTAGACATCAGTCTAAATAATAAACTCAGTTTGTAATTTTTACTGCAATTTGTTTTTGGATAATTTTTTTATTATATAAAAGGCTCCTTAAGATAAACTTTGTAATTTTCAATTCTATAGAAATGTTGTCTGTATTTTCTTTTTCTTTTTCTTTTTTGTCATTCGTCATGGAGGGGTAGGGGAAGTATTATATTGAGTTGTGTCAATATTGTCTCATACGTGAATTGAACCCGGATGCATTTGAGAGGAAGGGGAGAGTTTGGCCTACTTTTCCACTATGGTCCACACCATGTGCATTGTTCGTATTTCTATACTTGAGGGGAGTTTGAGCAGTACTTGCTTGAGGGGCCTCAAGAACGGCCAAAGAGACCTCTATAAGGACATATTAAGCACATGTGAAATTCTTAGAATAATACAATCAAATAGAGTTTGATTTAAAAAAAGAAAAAAGAGAAAAAGGAATTAGATTCCAAACAGTACCAAGTACAAAGTGAAATGAAAGTGACACAAAAGGGCTCTCAGCCTCTCTGATAGTGTAATATAAAGGCAGCAGAGACCTGTACACCCCTCCGTGAGGAAAGCTAAAACAAAACACAAAGGCAAAGAATCCTAAACAGCTTCATAATAAAACTGGCATTATTTGACCACCATCAGGAAAAAAAAAGGCTTAACATTCAAGAAACCAAGTTTCCCTTGTAATTCCATATTGAGATTTGAGTGTGATTTGTAAGATGGAGAGCTCAACATCGAAGGTAGAGGTCATCATAAAGCCTATGCTGCTTAAAGCTGGGATTCCTTTAGCATTGTATGTGGCTGGTTTCATCTGTGCAAAACTTATGGCTAAAAGAAGCTTGAATCCTAGAGAGATATCAGAAGCTGATGATCAGGTGCTTAGAGATGGGGATAGCTCTTATAGTTTCAGTTCTACACATGTGTGCTTTCCATGGAAGATCATGAACCCATTATCATGGACGCCAATGTCATGAATTTAGCAGAAAGTTTGGAGATTGGATATAATAAACACGAATTGGAGGAAGAGATTTCGCTCCTAAGAATCCGACTTGATGATCTTCAAAACAGAGAATCTGAGTTGGAGATGCAATTTATCCGCTACTGTGACTTGAAAGAGAAATAATCTGTTGTTGTGGAGCTGAGGAATATGTTGTCATTGGAAATGGCTCATGTTGAGTTCTTCAACAGAGAAGTTTCATCCATGGGAGCTGAGAGCCAAAGGCTTGAGAAATTGGTAGTAGAATATTTGAGGATTTTGGAGCAACTTGAGTATTGGAAATCAGAAAAAGGTAAAGAAGCTTTTGAGAAAAGCAAGAAGGCAATCTCGAATAATGCAGAAACAAGATTTGAAGCTTGAAGCTTGGGAAGCAGAAGTTTTGAGGATATATGGTGCTCTAGAAACAAGGACGAAGGTTATCAAGAAATTGGAAGATGAAGTTGGGGAGCTGAGAGTGGTTTTGGACCCAGTGCAGGAGGAGAAAAATGTGCTCTTGGAAAAGCTTGAATTGGCAGAAATATCAGCTTCCTCAATCTCCAAGGTGACACCACTTTAAATCAATCACATATGCTAATGTATGCATTCAGTCATATGATCAACAAACATGCACTGAAAGGGTAAGAAGATTAGAAGCTATTAGAAGCTATTAGGTGCCTTGCCAGAAAGGAAAATGTGGTATCTATTTTTGTTCCTTCCAGATTGACAGTCTAACCACTTTGAGGTATCACATATTGCAGATTGGAGGAGAAGGGATCAAAATTGAGGAGGTCCTCGAAAAGGAAATAGAGCAGCTGCAGATGGATCGTGCAGCTGAACTGAAGGAACTGGTTTACTAGCGGTGGAGCAATGCATGCTCAAGGCACGAGTTGATGAGGAATCAAGCACAGGACAGGAAGAGCAGCAGGATCAGGAGAAGAACAATAATTTGGCAACAGATTTTGAAGGAAGCGGAGAAATTGCAGATTATGGGTTAGCAAGCATGGTTTTGGAGCATAAAAAGCCTTGCTTTGGAATTGTGAGCGGCGATCAGGCTTGTTCGAAAAGGCAAAAGCTATTTCAAAGGCTTAGAAGATTGGTGGAAGGCAGTGACCAGGCAAAAGGAAGAAGATTGGGTGAGAAAGAAAGGCATGAAGAAGTCAAGTGTTTTGGAAGGCATTCTGTTTCAGATGATGCAGAGGCATATCACATTGCAAGGAGGTCTTGCTCTAGTGCTTGAACACATACATATCAGTATATTACATCTCTTGCTATTCAGATATTAAATTCACAGGTAAGATGTCTCATAGAAGGCCAATTTCTCCTTTAATGGTTGAGAAAGGCTATGAAAATGCTAAGCTTCAAAATCACATGTAACTCTACTGGGGGACTGATGACGACTTTGTAAATCATATGGAACCAATCTTTCTGACAGTTGCTTTCACTATAAATCTAAATAACCAAAGCATTTGTATGAAGTTTTCTTGATATGAATATGACCCTTTGAGCTATAAGACAAGGCATGCACAAAGTATAAATATATAAATAACATATCTTGTATATTTAAAACATTTATTTCTGAAAACTAAAAAAAGTTCCAAATTCTCACAATTTTTTTGGTTCTGAAAATTCAAAAAACTAAAATAAAAGGGGGGTCTCGAGCCCAAAGTTTGATGGAGCCCAGTCCTTGTGAATATGGATACTACAATGATGAACTCCATCCATTTGGCAGCACCTTGTGATTTTGAGACAATAAAGCTGTGGATGAAATAGAAAGCGCTATCCTCTCTCTTTTTCTCTTACAAAAACTAAACCAACTAAAGCATTGATACTTTAACGGTATTAACCATTATTGCACCATGGAACTCTTCCTTCTTCCATATCACCAACTCTGCTCCACAGGCCTCCCTTCCCAGAACCCATTACAAGTAATCTCTCTCTCTCTCTCTCTCTCTCTCTGAGCTTGTCTTTTGGGGTTCATTGAGACTCAAGCAATTTTATTTGAATTCACAGGCAAGAGACTCCTCAAGAGGAACTCACATGTCTTACCATGTCAATGCTCATTGCCCTCCTCAGATGATGCTGCAAAACCAACCTACCAGTCATTACACTATGAGGGAAGGAGGGCTTTGATTGGTTCTCTTTTAACCTCAGGTTTTCCCTACTTTTAACTCCTTTTTTTTTTAATCTGAACGCATAAGTGTAAAAATTAAATAAATAAAAAATTGGTTTTCATCTTGTTGAAAGAAAAAGAACTTCTTGACATTGAATTGGCATAATTTTAATAAATTGGGTCTGGGAAATCTGTCCCTGTGGAAATTTAGATAATTCTAGTGGGTTTTGTCTATTTTCGTTCTCATAATTGTCTCTGTTCTTTTCATATCTTCATATGATGTTTCATTCCTTCCATGAATGAACAATTTCTGTATACACTGGCTTATTGACCTCTTCATCTTTTTGAAATGAATCAGCTGCTGGCTTGTATGTGTGTGACGTGGCTGAAGCTGTTAGCACAAGTAGGAGAGCTGTGAGTATCAAAATATTTTTTTGCTTTTGTTCTTTTATCTTCGAGATTATACTTTGGTGGTTATTGCTGCTACGAAATTAAATTTAAGAAGAAAAAAAACAAGAAATCTTATTTTTTTAAATAGTCTTTACATTCAAAATTTGTGACCTTCATTTATTTTCTGCAGCTAAGAGGAGCGAAAATACCCGAGAGTGAATTTACAACCCTTCCCAATGGTCTGAAGTTAGTAAACTGTCGTCACTTATAAACTCTCTGCTTACCTGTTTTGCTTTCCCTCTCTCCTTTTATAATCTTTCATGGCACATTAAACCATAAACGTGGCATTTCATTGCAGCTTTCATGTTGATGGCATGCTACATGTAGATAAATGCACTTCAAAAAATTTCTTGTCAAGCTTAGAATTAATTTTCTAGAGTTTTTAAAGATCTGCGTCTGAAATAATAATATACAAAGTATTACAATAAACTCAAACCTATTTTACGATGCAATATGCTGTTTATTGATTTCACCTGTGGAAGGTTCATATCTTTTCCTATGCCAAGAATTATATACTGATGGAATTGTTCCTCACTCCTCAGGTACTATGACTTGAAGGTTGGGAGTGGAGCTGAGGCAGTGACAGGATCCCGGGTTGCAGTATGGTTGTGATCAAGTTAAATTTCAATATTTTGAGAATACATAAATAATACTTTTCTAGAATTTTCCAAAACTAAGCATTAAAAATGTCAATATTTTTGCAGGTTCATTATGTTGCGAAGTGGAAGGGTATCACTTTTATGACAAGTAGACAAGGACTTGGTGTTGGAGGAGGAACGGTAAGATTAGACTGGTGCTGCTATTCACATGTATACGCAGTATTTCGACAGTAATTTCAAATGCATATAGATAGAAGCGGACACCTTCAGTTTCCTTCTATATTAAAATCAAAGGAACCAACCAATTTTATGATTACATAATATAGCTTCTGGAATACCTATCTAGACCATATATCAAAACTTTTCTGCTTAGTAAATATGCACAAACAGTTATATTTTTTTCAGTTAAAGTGTTGACACTCTTAACATGCCATCTTTCCTATGATGAATTACCAGTTAACTGATTCTCATTGATCCCTGCTCATAATTTCGGAAATGAATTCCTAAATTATTCGTTGTGCAGATTACTTCCAATTTTTAATTATTTCCGGCGAGCAATTTTTGGAGATTTTGACATCTTAGTTTACTAAACATTTAGTTTTATCTTGAACTGTGTACTTATGGTTCATGTTAATAAGGAAAATAGACTATGCTATCTGCACTCACCATACTGTGTCACATGTAAGTGTTTCTTATATCTTATAGTTGTTATATGTATGCTTGGATGCTGCAGCCATATGGATTTGACGTTGGCCAATCTGAGAGGGGATCAGTCCTTAAAGGGTTAGATCTTGGTGTAAAAGGCATGAAGGTTGGAGGCCAGGTGAGATCAGTGTTTTGGAATAAAATTTATTTGTTATATCTTGAAGCACTGTTGCTGCATAACTTGTGTTTACAATTTGAAGAAGAAAATTGGAGTTTATTTTTATGGTGTTTTGTAGTAAGCCTTGAGTGGAACAGTGTTCTGGAATCTGGATGGATTTATGTAGAGACTACAAATAATTTTGAGTCTCAAGCATCTGATATACAATCCTTTGATCCTCTGAAACTGTACAGACTAGAAATTTATGATTCTTACAAAATGATAGTTCTTTTAATATTTGGAGATCTTTTGTTCTATATACGATAACAGAAAAGCAGGTCGAAGTCTCTGATCTTCTCTTCATTGGACTGAGACCACTTAAACAACTGAATAACAACTTCTTCTTTTTGGGGGGTCAGCATTGATATGTACCCTTTTGGGTTCCTTTTTCATCTAAATTATTTATTTTGCAGAGACTGCTAATAGTTCCTCCCGAGCTAGCGTATGGAAGCAAAGGAGTCCAGGAAATCCCTCCAAATGCAACCATAGAGGTAACATAATTTAATCTCCTTCAAAGGACTTCATCCACAAATCTCGTTTTCTGTCTTAGGCCTTTTCCATGGTCTTAAGTATATTACACTTAACTGCAGTGGTCACGCATCCGTGGTTAAAAATTCCCTCCAGATGTTATTCATAATGACTTGTTCTGCCATTCTCTTTCATCCCAAGTGTAGAATCTTTAGTAATTTTGTTTGTATACGAACTAAGCTATCTCTATCACTATTTTCTTTTCAAATTATCATTTTATTCTTTCAATCTTTTCTGCTATCTTTCTTTCATGGGCCCTTCTCTATATTCCTCTTCACTGTTTTTGTACCTTCTTTTAATCTGCAGTTGGATGTTGAATTACTGGCCATAAAGCAAAGCCCATTTGGGTAAGTAATGGGTTCTCTGAAGTTAGTTAACAACTTTTTATATTTATATTGGAAGATATGTAGCAATTGAAAATTATCTTGTTACTCTCTTGTGCAGGTCTCCTGTAAAAATTGTTGAAGGTTAATGCAAATGCAATGATGCTCTTCCTACTGCTCATCGTGTTCTTTTGTTAATGTAAATGAGGAGATTAGAAGCTCAAAAATTGTGGAAAAAAAGAAGATATGTTTGCTGTTCTCTTCATAGAAACCATAAAGCTGTCTTTTTTGTTCTGAGACATAAGTTTTCTATGCATGTGTCTGTGATGATTAAATGATTGAATGATCGGATCGATGATTGCTTATAAAAATGACTTATTTTTTGGGTCATTTAGGGCCCATTTGATAACCATTTCATTTTTAGTTTTTAGTTTTCAATTTTTACGCTAGAGTATAGAGAAAAATGAGAGTGAGAATGGGACTGAGGATGAGATTGAGAGAGAGGATGAGAGGGGAGGATGAGAGGGAGGAGTAACAAAAGTGAAAACAACTTGAAATAGATTTCAGTTTTTAGTTTTTGCCCATCCTTTCCTCTCATCTTCCCTCCCAATCTCATCTCTACTCTCATTCTCACTTCCATTCTCCCTCTTTTTCCTCTATACTCTAGCACAAAAAATGAAAACTAAAAACTAAATTTGAAATAGTTATCAAAAAGGCCCTTATGTTCTTGCTGTCCTATTTTCTTGTTATGAATGTTAAATCTTTTCTATTTGATTTTTTATGCAGAACATAGCTTAATCTGCTTATATATCCCTCTAAAGTTTTATGATTTATGACTGTGATCCACGTGTATGCTTGTTGGAAAGCAGAACATTGGTGGGAGAGCCATTATGTTGCCTTTTATTTTTATAATAGATTTTTATTCTTAATCTATTGATTTGTTGCTTAACTTCATGAAGGAAAGCAGAAAAGTTGGCATATCATTAGTTTGTTGCACTGAAGCCTTTTCTGGTAATAGCTTTCCTTAAGTAGAGGTCACAGCTTAAAATGCTGTCCCTAGAGAATAAAGGAAGAATCTACAGGTCCTATAAAATCCAAAAGTTTTATGATTTTTTTCACATAAGATTCTTGCAGAGACTTTCCAGTTTTTGTTTCACCCACTTTATTCTCTTGTTGTATCCTTTTATTTACCCCATCTTCCTTCCCATATGCAGCATAAGCTTTTCATTGCTTCCCCTTTGTTCATGCAAAATGGTCACTAAGCCAAACATAATACCAGGCTTCCTCTTCTACCATCTCTTGTTCCTTCTTTGTGTAGTTCATTACTGCTCTTCTCAAAAGACCTGCCAGGAATGTGGCTCCATAAAAGTCCCATATCCCCTGAGCACAAACCCCGACTGTGGTGACCCCGACTACTCTCTCCATTGTGACCCTTCCTCTAAGAAACTCTATGTTGATGCCCTCAATGGAAGTTATTATCTTGTGCTTCAAATCATGGCTCTGAATCAACGCATGCTGGTACAACCATCCCCATGGCTGCCTGACAAATGTGTTACTCAAGACATGGTGGTGAGTGAGGGCCTCTGGTTGAATCAGTCACTTCCTTTCAACATCACTTCGTCGAACACTATCTTCCTCTTTAACTGCTCTCCACGGCTCTTGGTTTCTCCTCTTAATTGCACTCCATCTAGCCTTTGTCACCGCTACTTGGAAAGCTCAGGACATGTTGACACAAACCGAGCACTTCAGTGTGTAGGCAAGCTTAAGCTTTGCTGCACTTTTGTTGCTGGTGGGACGCCTTCAGCCTACAAAATACGGCTTCACAGTTCAGGTTGTAAAGCCTTTAGAAGCATCCTTCATTTGGATATAAACCAGCCTGCAAATCAATGGGAAGAGGGATTGGAAATTCAGTGGGCTCCTCCACTTGAACCAATTTGTAGAACACAGCTTGACTGCTCTCAAGCTTCCAAATGTTCACCTACTGGTTCCAATGGCCTCTCTCGCTGCCTTTGCAATAGGGGCTACTATTGGGACCATGTTCTTGGAACATGCTCAAGGAAGAAGAGGAACACGAAAGCCGGTCTGCGTTTAAAGGTCTCAGTAGGGGTAATCTCTTTTTTCCTCATGGCTGTAGTTATAGCGATAATTACAGTGAAAAGGTCCTGCAAATTCTCTGAGCAGGAAAAGCTTACCAAGGCAAGAGAAGACATGTTGAAGAACAATGATGGGAAATCGGCTAGAATGTTTCACTTAAAAGATGTGAAGAAAGCCACTAAAGGTTTCTCTAAAGACAGGGTTTTAGGGAGTGGTGGGTTTGGAGAAGTCTACAAAGGAGAGCTTGAAGATGGGACTGTGGTGGCTGTCAAGTCAGCTAAAGTGGGCAACATCAAGAGCACAGAACAAGTTCTAAATGAAGTTGGGATACTTTCCCAAGTCAACCACAAAAATCTGGTCAGACTCTTGGGTTATTGTGTGGAAGCTGCGCAGCCGTTGATGCTCTATGAGTACATATCAAATGGGACACTCAGTGACCATTTACATGGTAAATTTTCCACCTTTCTTGACTGGAAAACTAGGCTCAGAATTGCCCTACAAACAGCTGAAGCATTGACTTATTTACACTCTGCTGCTCATACTCCCATCTACCATAGAGATGTCAAGTCAACTAATATACTACTTGATGACAATTTCAACGCCAAAGTTGCCGATTTCGGGCTCTCCAGGTTGGCTTGTCCAGGGTTGAGCCATGTCTCAACATGTGCTCAAGGAACATTAGGGTACTTAGACCCCGAATATTATCGCAACTACCAGTTAACTGATAAGAGTGATGTTTATAGTTATGGGGTTGTGTTGCTTGAGCTTTTAACATCACAGAAAGCCATTGATTTCTCGCGTGATCAAGACAACGTGAATTTAGCCATTTATGTGAGTGTAAGAGCCAACAATGGTGCAATTATGGAAGTTGTGGATCAGCGGCTGTTTAGCAAGGAGCCTGCAGGGAATATATTAGCAAGCATAAAGCTTTTCTTAGAGCTCGGACTTGCCTGTCTGAGGGAAAAGAAGGGGGATAGGCCAGCCATGAAGGATGTTGTTCAAGAACTCCACTGCATAATTCAAGTTTTAGATCATGAAGTGGTTCAAAACTAATGAGATTAGCTTTGTTGAAACTATATGAATTTACTGTACTATTAATGTAACCGAAAAATAAAATGTATTGTACTATTACTGGAGTGTGGAAATGTTCTCCTACCGGACTCTGTAACATGCTATGTCGTTAGATTGTTAATAAGACGAACTCTTATTTTAATTCGTAGTGTAAGATTGACAGGTAGACAACTTAACATACCAAACAAGACAGAGTGTAAGAGTTTGAATTCAAGTTGTATTCCTTCGTGTAAATGTTACAATATTTATAATTTCACAATAAAGATATAAACGGTAAAAGCCTTGAATGACAGTAAATATAAAATATTTGGAGAGCAAATCAACTATTGTGATTGAGAAGAATCCGTTTCAGATTCTTCTTCCTTGATGAGTGCGTGTGGTTTAACACAAAGTTTTATAGAAATTGAAGTTAAATATTGTTATGGATAATATGATACAATCTTTGAATATTCATGTTTCCAAATGAGAGGATATGGAAGGAGGTGGAGATATATAATGCCAAGAAAGGCTTAGATTTTGAGTAGCACACAGAAGCTAAAGTGATTCCAAGGATGGGTTTTGAGTGGAGGGAAAAAGAAGGGTTGGGATCAGATTCTTCCTTTGTGCAGAAATAAAATGATGCAGAGAAGACATGGACTTCCAATTCTGGGGTTATTGGAATCTATTTATATTTAGGATGTCCACATTAATTGGTTGGCATGGAGAAAAAGCAAGCAAGCTTTTTGCAAACTAGGAAAGCATTTTGCTTAGAATGTTTGAATAGGAAATTGGAAATTTTATCAAGTAAAGTGAAGCATTATATAGAGTTAGTTGCTTGAAGTCTAGTCTTGTCATAGATTCATATCTAGTAAATTTCGAATCATTACTAAATACTGGTCGTGGTAAGGAGTGCAATATGACTATTTTGAAGTGCTAATAACAATTTTCATTGTATTTATATAAAGTCAGTCGCGAGTTTTTTACATCGGGTTTATTTTGTAATGATTAAAGTGTGGAGTTGTAACTAATGCAGACCAGCATCAGACTCCAGATTGTTAGTTGCTATTGCTTATTGTCTCTTCCACAAACTCAAGTGGAATGTTAAATTGCAAAGCTTTAGTTGGATCCAGAGCAGAGGAAAACTTCTTATTACAAAATAAAATCTAAACTCCAAAATCAACATAACTGCCTAACTCATGCGTGAGAATTTTAATTGCTATCAAAATCGTCAATTGGTTCTTTGTACATATGATTCTTAAATTGTAATTTAGTAAATAAAAGGTTTTGATTATGACATGTCTATGGTGAAGATTCATTAATAATAAGGAGGTGGACAAGGAGGCGTATCATCCTTATTTAAGCCGAAAATACCAAAATTGTGGACTTCATATATTTCTTTTTCTTTTCTTTTCTTTTCTTTTTTTATAATCAAAAGGGGAGTAGAGAAAAGTCCTAAATACATGCAAAGCGACATCATTTAGACCATAAAACAATATTAACATGAAGAAAAAAAAACGTGCAATTAGTCGATGGATGCAATTATTTTACAGCAAACGATGAAGGGGGGAAAGAGGGGGAGGTAAAGAGTGGGGAAAATAGAGATAAAGGTCAACTTTTAAATTGGGATAAGTCTAAACACCAAGATTGCATTGACTTCTAATATCTATTATTATTATTTATTATTATGGTTGTTCTCCTTGCTTCAATGCTTTCCCCCAGTGTGGGAATAAAATAAAACCAATAGTTCTTTCTTTTGGGCAAGTAAAATCAAGACCTTTTGCATTACCACTAGTGTCAATATTATATAAATTATCAAGCGTGGGAGAGTGATATCAAAAGATGAACCCAACTTCTGGAAAAATTATAAAATAACCACAATAACTTTGGTGGGAAGGAAAAACCAAAACGTTTCCACCACAAAATGGATAATGGACTAATAATGAGTTATTTCAGTCCTAATCAAGACTCTAAATTGGTCACCTGTTTTACATGTATAAGATATTTT